CTTTTTTCTTTTTGCTTATGTGGTGCTGAGGAATCGAACCCAGGGCCTCGAGCATGCAAGGCAAGTGTTCTACCACTGAGCCACCTTCCCAGCCCCCCATGAAACTCTTAATTTCCAGTGAACCACCAGAAACCAGAGGTGGCACTGTGGCTCAAAGTGGTAGAGTACTAGCCTTGAGCAAAATTGCTCAGGGACAGCAGCACCCAGCCCTCGAGGTCAAGCCCCATGACCAACAACAACAAAAGAACTATCCAAAAAGTGGGACTGGTGGGTGCCGGTGGTTCACCCCTTTCATCTAGCTGCTCAGGAAACTGAGATCTGAGGATCACTGTTCAAAGCCAGTTGGGGCAGGAAAGTCTGAGAGACTCTTATCTTCAATAAACCACTCAGAAAACCAGAAGTGGTGCTGTGGCTCAAGTGGTAGAGTGCTAGCTTTGAGCTGAAGAGCTGAGGGACAGCACCCAGGCCCAGAGTTCAAGCCCCGTGAGTGACCAAAAAATAAAAAGGCAGTACCAGAGGAATGTCTGATTAGAGGGTTTTTTGTTTGTTTGTGGTTTTTTTGTTTTTTGTTTTTGCTTGTTTGTTCTTAAATGGGCCCTGGTAGCTCATGCCTGTAATCCTAGCTACTCAAGAGGCTGAGATCTGAAGATCAAGGTTCAAAGCCAGCTCAGGCCAGAAAGTCTGTGAGACTCTTATTTCCAGTCAACCACTCAAAGGCCAGAAGTGGAGCTGTGGCTCAAGTGGTAAAGCACCAGCCTTGATCATGAAAGCTCAAGGACAGTGTCTAGGCCCTGAGTTCAAGCATAAATAAATAAATAGAACACTAATCTTTTGCCAGTTTGTACATAGGGAAACACACAATTATCATGTAGTTTATAACATAGTTTTTCACTTACTAATGTCTTTGAATAAGTTTAAGTACTTAAATGGAGCATAATTTTGTATTTTCCATTTGCTGGATCTTAAAGACGCCTCCTTTGTTTTGAAGATATAGAGAGATATTACCTATATTTTCAAAACTAGATTTTAAGCAGATTTGGCCCTGTAATCCTAGTACCTTTAAAGCAATGTTGCCTTTCTTTCAGTGCCTTGAACTCAGGGCCTTGCATTTGATCAGCTTTCTTGCTCCCAGCTGGTGTTCTATTACTGGGAGCAATGGCTCCAGCCTGGCTTTTTGCTAATTAAATGGGGGAACTTTTCTGCCTGAGCTGAGTTTGCGATCCTCCAGCTCTTGGTCTCCTCAAGATATGAGCTTACCAAGACTCAGGTATAAGAGTTACTTGTCTCTAACCAATTGGTAGCTTAAAAAAAAAATTGAAAAAATTCTTTGTACTCAGATAAAAGCTCTGTGAAGAGGTAAAGATTTTTTTTTAAATTTTTTGGGGGGTCCGGTCATGGGGCCTGAACCCTGGGCCTGGGCGCTGTCCCTCAGCTCTTCAGCTCAAGGCTAGCGCTTTACCACTTGAGCCATAGCATCACTTCCAGCTTTTTTATTTTCTGCTTATGTGGTGCTGAGGAATCTAACCCAGGGCCTCATGCATGCAAGGCAAGCGCTCTACCACTGAGCCACCTTCCCAGCCCGAGGTAAAGATATTTTCATGCGATCACATCCTATGGTGTTTTATCATGTTGCTGTTTAGAAGTAACAATGTCTTTACTTTCTAGTTCCCTTTATTTCTGCTTTTTGTTTTGTAGATTCAAGTCCAATTCTGCTCAACTGCTCGTTGAGGCTCGAGTTCAGCCTAACCCGTCGAAACATGTGAGTGTTGTCCTATTTGAGAGACTCCTTTGGTTGTGCATGGGCGCTTGCTGTGGCTCCCCGTGTCATGAGAACCATCTTCACTCTGCTGTCTAGGATGCCTCCACATACTTGTTGCAGGCATCAATCTGCCTTCTCTATTATAACTAGAAGTTTTAGATTAGGGATGTTGCTCTGTGATAGTGCACTTGCTTAATGTGCATGAGATTCTGGGTTCAAGTCTCAGCACTGGGGGGAAAGAATTTCAACTCTGCTTGTGCCTAGAATGCTTAGACTCTGGCCTCCATTTTTACTTCTAAGAATGAAAGTTACCTTAAAAGACCCAAATCTAAGTCTTGTTTTTCACAAAGCCCATTTTCTGTGACCAGTTTCCTCCAAAACTCCTTTTTTTGGGGGGTGAGGGGGTCAGTCATGGGGCTTGAACTCAGGGCCTGGGCACTCTGAGCTCTGTCATTCATGTCTAACACTCTACCACTTTGAGTCACAGCACCACTTCCAGTTTTCTGGTAGTTCACTGGCGATAAGGGTCTCATGGGCTTTTTTGCCCAGGCTGGCTTTGAACTGTGATTCTCAGATCTCAGCCTTCTGAGTAGTAGGATTACAGGCGTGAAACACCAGTGCCTGGCCCTCTTCTGTCCTTTTACATGTGTGTTGTATTTATTCCTGTATTTACTTACTTATTTAATTTCCTTTTTCCTTCCTTCCTTCCTTCCTTCCTTCCTTCCTTCCTTCCCTCCTTCCTTCCTTCCCTCCTTCCCTCCTTCCCTCCCCTCCCTCCCCTCCCTCCCCTCCCTCCCTCCCTTCCTTCCTTCCTTTCTTTTTCTTTCCTTTCATTCATTCTTTTTTCTCTTTCTTTGTCTCTTTCATTCATTCTTTTTTCTCTCTTTCTTTCTTTCCAATCCTGGGACTTGAACTCAGGACCTGGATGCTGTCTGTCACCAAGCTTTTGTACTCAAAGCTAGTATTCCAGCTTATTGAGCCACAGCACCATTTCTGGCTTTTTGGTAGTTAGTTAGTTAGAGATAAGAGGCTCACAGATTTTTCCTGCCCTGGCTGGCTTTGAACCACAATCCTCAGATCTCAGCTTCCTGAATAGCTAGGATCACAGGCATGAGCCACCTGTTCTTCTCTTGACTATCATAGGAATTATATTCTGATAATACAGAGCAATTCCCTTTGTACTTAGGAGATGAACATTGTTTGAATAATTTTGAATGAGGATAAGTGCTCTTATGATTGTGAAATGGGGCTTAGATCACCAAATAAGTTCTACACCCTTAGGAGAAAAGTTTCTAAACGCATACTATGTAAACAAGAGAGTACAGTCATTGTCCTCAACTTGTTTTTCTAGTAAGCCAAAACACACCTAAAGTAAATTTGTTACATGGCGTTTTTCCATTGGCTTGTAATTTTGTTTTGTCTTTTCTTTTTTGGTACTGGGGATGGAACCCAGGACGTTGTACTTGCTATGCAAGCACTTGCCACTGAGCTACATCTTAGCACTGGCTTGTAATTTTGGCTCAAGCCCCCAGATTGTCTTTGTCTACCAGTCTCTGTAGCATGATGTGTGTTCTGGAATTCAAGGTTTGCAGTTCACATCCTATACAATTTCCTTCCTTTTCCTTCCAAGTTCATTATATGGGACATCTCTTTGGTCAGAACTATAATAATACTTTGTGGTTTGGGTATATTGATGCAAAAACCACTGTATGACAAATAAAACAGCAATGTAGACCTGGCCTCTAAGTACTGAAGCTGGGTTTATAATTCTTTGTTGTTTTTTTTTTTCTGTGTTGTTTTTGTTTTTGTTTTTGCCAATACTGGGGCTTGAACTCAGGGCCTCGGCACTGTTCCTGAGCTTCTTTTGCTCAAAGCTAGCCGCCCTACCACTTGAGCCACAGCACCACTTTCGGCTTTTTCTGTGTATGTGGTGCTGAGGAATGGAACCCAGGGCTTCCTGCATGCTAGGCAAGCGCTCTACCACTGAGCCACCTTCCCAGTCCAATGTATAGGTTTGTGGTTGTGCCTCTCTTTCCAGGTCCCCACGGCCCATCCCCCTCACCACTGCGCAGTGTGTATGCAGTTTGTCCGGAAGGAAAACCTCCTCTCTCTGGCTTGTCAGCACCAGTTTTGCCGCAGCTGCTGGGAGCAGCACTGCTCAGTACTTGTCAAAGATGGCGTGGGTGTAGGTGAGTCTGACCCTCAACTATGTTTTGTTGTTGTTGGTCACAGGGCTTGAACTCCTCAGGGCCTGGGTACTGTCCCTGAGTTTTTTTTGCTTAAGGCTGGTTGTTCTACCAGTTGGAGCCACAGCTCTACTTCTGGTTTTCTGGTGGGTCACTGAAGATGGAATCAGACTTTCCTGCCCAGGCTGGTGTTGAACCATGGTTCTTGGATCTGAGCCTCCTGAGTAGCTGGGACGAGAAGGCTGAGGCACCAGCATCTGCTGACACTGAAATTTAAAATTAATTAATTAGCTAATTAATTTTGCTATTCCCGGGGCTTGAACTCAGGGCCTGGGCACTGTTCCTGAGCGTCTTTTGCTCAAGGCTAATACTCTACCACTTGAGCCGCAGAGCCACTTCTGGGTTTTTCTGTGTATGTGGTACTAAGGAATCGAAGCCAGGGCTTCATGCATGCGAGGCAAGCACTCTACCTCTAAGACACATGCCCAGCCCCAACACTGAACTTTTAAAAGGCTGACATAAAGTGTTTGTCTTCAACTCTGCCTTGCTGTGTACTCAAGTAAACTAAACATTTTCTTTAAAAGAGAAAGGTTTTTCTTGTTGAAACTAGTGGTTCCCAACTACATTAGTCCACATAGGGGCAGAGTTTTCCCCAGTCCTTAGCAAAATGTGATGGTTAAAGCTCTTATAAATACTAGTGTGAGTAAAGGCTATCTTCGCTCACTTTTTTTTTTTTTTGTGATTGTGGAGCTTGAACTCTGGGCCTGGGCGCTGTCCCTCAGCTCTTCAGCTCAAGGCGAGCGCTCTACCACTTGAGCTACAGCGCCACTTCCGGTTTTCTAGTGGTTTATTGGAGATAGGAGTCTCATGTCTCTCTTGCCCGGGCTGGCTTTGAACCTCGATCCTCAGATCTCAGTCTCCTGAGTAGCTAGGATTACAGGCGTGAGCCAATGGCGCCCGGCTCGTTTTTTTTTTTTTTTTTCTTGGTGAGTCCTGGGACTTGAACTCTGGGACTGGGTGCTGTCCCTGAGCTTCTTTTTTGCTCAAGGCTAGCACTGCATCACTTGAACCATGGCACACTTCTGGCTTTTTCTGTGTATGTGGTACTGAGGAATGGAACTCAGAGCTTCATGCATGCAAGGCAAGCACTCTATCACTAAGCTACATTCCCAGCCCCCTGAGAACTAACTGCCTTTTAATCTGTGTGGCGTGTGTTGATTCCGCACTTGGCAGCCATACCTTCAAAATTCCCAAGAGTATTTGCTTCTGTTTAAGCAAGTGTAGCATAAATCAAATTTGATGATGAACAACAACAGTATTTGTTATAGTATGACTTGAATGATATTGAAATTAATTGGTAGGTGCAAAATCTCAGTGTACTAATGATGTTCATATGCATATGACATTAGATATCGCAAAATTAGGTTGTCAGTCAAGAATGCTTTATATGCCTGGAGATATAGCTCAGTAATAGAGCACATAAGCATGCAGAAGACTCTGGGTTTAAATCCCAGCAGTATGCAAACAATAATACCCTGAAGAAATGATTTTGTTATTTATTTAATACTATTGATTGTATGTGTATTTTATACACACACACACACTCACATACACACGTGTATATATTTTTGGACCAGTATCTTTTTATGGTATTGTTATGAAAATATGTTAATTTTTCTCCTCTCTGAATACATTTTGTTGCTTCAAGATTGTCCTGTATGGAACCTGTTTGTTAGCTGAATCTGGTAGGCAATCATATTTTGTTGTATTTTCTACAATACCATTAGCCATCCACTTGTTTCTGTTCAACAGGAGTCTCTTGTATGGCTCAGGATTGTCCCCTCCGTACACCAGAAGACTTTGTGTTTCCGTTACTTCCCAATGAAGAATTGAGAGACAAATACAGGCGCTACCTCTTCAGGGACTATGTGGAGGTATGACCAGCCATGTTTTTCTGCCCTCTGTCTTCCTGGGCCTACCTTCTATCGATGGTCACTATATTGCTTACTTTATAGCCAAGACTATAAGTCGGTGAAGAACATAGTAGGCCTTGGAGTCAGACAAACCACTGTTTAAATCACAGATCCATTGCTCCTTTGGTGTGTGACCATTAACTCATTAATTTACCTTTCTCAGTCTTGGGTTTTCTTCTCTAGAATGAGCAGATTTTTTTTTTTTTTTGCCAGTCCTGGTACTTGAATTCAGGGCCTGGGCCTGTCCCCAAGCTGCTTTGGCTCAAGGCTAGTGCTTTACCACTTGAGCCACAGTGTTGATTCTGGATTTTTCTGTTTATGTGGCACTGAGGAATCGAACCCAGGGCTTCATGCATACAAGGCATGCATTCTACCTCTAGGCCACGTTCTCAGTCCCCACCTGGTCCTTTGATAGAAGTTATCAGCTGGATGAGCAGAAGGTGTTTAAGCACTCAAGGAAGAAGTCTGCTGGGAAGCAACAGTTAGGAGTTCTCTTTACTGTTTCTCCTTGGTGTATTCACAGAGTCACTACCAGCTCCAGCTGTGCCCTGGTGCAGACTGCCCCATGGTCATCCGGGTACAGGAACCTAGAGCTCGTCGAGTGCAGTGTAATCGGTGCAACGAGGTCTTCTGGTAAGAATGAGTCTTGAGCAGTCTTTGAGCCCGTGCCCTGTCCTACAAAACACCTTGCTATTCTGCTTAAAGGCAGAGCTGAGAGAGATGGAGTCTCAGTCTCCCAAGAGCATTCTGTTCCAAGTGGGAAAGTTGGTGACCCGCATTTCATGTTCCACACAGTGTGTGCTCATTTCTGTGTCTGGAGAGAAGGAATTGTACAGTTCTTAGAGACTGTTTATATTATTCATGGCCTACTGGCTTGATAGAATCACTATGCCTGTTAATCCACACACAAGTCACTATATTTGAAAGGTACAACAAACTTGAATTTTTTTTGTTTTTGTTTTTGTCAGTCGTGGGACTTGAGCTCTGGGCTTGGGTGCTGTCCCTCAGCTCTTCAACTCAAGTCAAGCGCGCTACCAGTTTGAGCCACAGCACCACTTGCACTTTTCTAGTGGTTAATTGGAGATAAGAGTCTCACAGAATTTCCTACCTGGGCTGGCTTTGAACCAAGATCCTCAGATCTCAGCCTCCTGAGTAGCTAGGATTATAGGTGTGAACCTCCAGTGCCTGGCTTTTTTTTTTTTTTTTAACTTTTTTGTTGTTGTTTGTTTTTGGTACTGGGGTGTGAACTTAGCCTCGTTTGCTCTCCTACTTGAATTATACCTCCATCCTAGCTTTCTGCTGGTTATTTTGGAGATAGAATCTCTTGGACTTTTCTGCTCTGCCTGGCTTTGGATCTCAGTCCTCCAGATCTCAACCCTTCAGAGTTGCTAGAATTAGAGTCATGAAGCCCTCAGTGCTTGACTTCCCCCACTCCCCTTGGCTAATTTTTATGAAATTCACAAGTGAATTATATTACTTTGAGGTTTTCTCCATTCATTGAATATTATGGACATGGCTAAAATTTATCAAAGGATTACCCGGTGGCAGGTACTTCCGAATCACTTTCCCTGCATTATCCCAATTGTGTATGATTGGCTGTCATCATCTTGGCATCCTAGGTAAGGAGAAGTATGGCAGAGTCATTATTTATGTCCCGATCTATTCTAATTGTGCTCCCTAGAACACACATGCTGGAAGTTCAGAGAAACTTTATGATAATTTGGGTATGTGTACATATTTCCTGCATTTCAAGTCCCTTTGGCAAAGGAATTGGTGGTCCATTGAAAGTTAAGGACTAACACAAAAGTATTTATTTATTTATTTATTATCAGTCGTGGGACTTGAACTTTGGGCCTGGGCTCTGTCCCTAAGCATTCCAGCTCAAGGCACGTGTTCTACCACTTGAGCCACAGTGCCACTTCTGGTTCTTCTAGTGGTTAATTGGAGATAGGAGACTCATGGACTTTTCTGCCTGGGCTGGCTTTGAACCAGGATCCTCAGATCTCAGCCTCTTTAGTAGGAAGGATTATTTGTGTGAGCCACCAGGCCCCCGCTAATTTTTTTTTTTTTTTGCCGCTGTCCCTGATCTTCTTTTTGCTCAAGACTAGTGCTCTACCACTTGAGCCACAGCATCACTTCTGGCTTTTTCTGTTTATGTGGTACTGAGAAATTGAACCCAGGGCTTCATGCATGCTAGCAGGCACTCTACCAATAAGCCACCATTCCCCTCCCCTTAGAAAGAAAATGATTAAACATTAAGACCCTGCCTTAACTATTAGTTGAATATTTTCCTTCTCTGATTTTAAGTTTCAAGTGTCGTCAGATGTATCACGCCCCCACGGACTGCGCTACCATCCGCAAATGGCTCACGAAGTGTGCAGATGACTCAGAAACAGCAAACTACATCAGTGCTCACACTAAAGATGTAAGGACTGTATGCCATGGTTCTGCCCTCAGTGCTGCCCAGGGCCTTCGGAAAGGGACTCTGGGCATTTGCCCAGACTTGGCACAATTAGTGGCGATTCATCTAGACTGCCTTGGGTGCATGTATCTTAATAAATTGTAAAATATTTTGACCCAAGAGAGAGCTAATTGTGGGAGCGGGGAGTTGGGGGGAAGGGGACAGCTCTAGTTTTTATTTATTGTCAATCGGCCTTAGCTCTGGGAAGAGAATGGTTAATATCCATATCTTGTGAGTAGTAATGCTGTAATGTAAGCCTAGTCTAGTCTTGCCCAGTTCTGGTTTTGAAGCTTGCCATTGTACCCCGTGCCAGTCACTCAAATCAGTGCCCTCTCAAGCACAGCTGTGACCATGATGTCATTCTGTATAGCATCTGCATTGCTGCCTGTAGTAGCTGGCCTTTTTGAAATGAGAGAAAGGAGCCTTTGGAGTCATTTCCATGCCCCCTTCTGGAGGCCAAAGTCTAAGCAAGCTGACCAGGACTTAATCCATGGTGGTAGTACTTTTTTTTTTTGGCCAGTCCTGGAGTTTGAACTCAGGGCTTGGGCACTGTCCCTGAGCTACTTTTGCTCAAGGCTAGCACTCTCCCACTTGAGCCACAGCACCACTTTTCCAGCTTTTTCTGTGTGTACGTGGCACTGAGGAATCGAACCCAGGGCTTCCTGCATGCTAGGCCAGCACTCTTACCACTAAGCCACTGTCCCAGCCCCAGCTCTGGGTTCTTCTAGTCATCTTCCCCAGCAGGCAAGCTTTCCTGCTGAGTCAGCTGGGGTTTAATCTGAATGCCTTAAAATGGCAGGGACATATGGTGGAAGACTTAGTGGGGCTCAGCTGGTGCTTGAATTAGTTCAAAGCCAAACATGCTGACCTCATTTCCTTGAATTGCTCTTCCAGCCTCAGCGACCTGCCACATTTAAGTGGGATGTTCCTCCCCAGAAGTGCTCACACGATGAGCTACTGAGCATGGGTGCCAAGAGCTTTGTGTAATGTGTCTTAGAGCCCGCGGCCTGATGGTGTGTGAGCCTAACGGCGCCCTTCTGTCTCCTCAGTGTCCCAAGTGTAACATTTGCATTGAGAAGAACGGAGGCTGCAATCACATGGTGAGCAAGGAGCCTGTGCGCTTTGCATGTGTGACATATGAAGCCTTGGGTCAGCATGCTCATAACGTGTTCTCTTCTGTTTCCCTCTGACAGCAATGCTCCAAATGTAAACATGGTAAGTCCCAGGCCTGCCTGGGTATGGTCCGATTGCTTGTTTAGTGAATTCTTTTCTAGCACAAGGCCAAAACCAAAGGGGAGCCTTGGTTGCTTTATGGTCTTCTTGCCAGGTAAGTCACAAGGGGAACAAGACAATCTTTGAAAGCCGGGCGCAGGTGGCTCACGCCTGTAATCCTTTGTAATCAGAGTGCTTGTGGCAAGGTTCCGGGCAGTTCTAAAATAGTGATTCAATAGGGGCAGAAGTAAGATAGTGTGAGGGTTGTGATATATTTCCTCATGGAGGCCCCATCGTCTTGGGGGGGGGAGGGTAATATACACATAGAATAGTACAGTAGGCACAGATACAGTTCAAAGACAAAAGGTAACATTGGTAACTCATGCCTCTCTATAATCCTAGCTACTCAGCAGGCTGAATCTGAGGATCTAGGTTCAAAGCTAGCCCCAACAAACAAACCTGAGAGTCTCTTATATCCAATGAACCAGCAAAAAGCTGTAACTAGAGCTCTGACTGAAGTGCTAGAGTTACAGCGATGACTAGGAAAAAAAATGCTGAGAGCACAAGGTATAGAGTTCAAGCTGCTGTTCTAGCACCATATATAATGTATATAAGGAACATACATATATATTTTGAGAGAGATTTCCCCTTCTCACCTTTAATAAAAGAAAAATCTGTTCCCAGCTTCATGCATAAAAATCTTCCTAGTAATGATAAACAACTAGCGGAAGGATGGAAGGTAGACAGGAGAGTAATCTGTGGACAGCATATGTATTGTAGGTGGCCAAGGGAGCCTCATTTGAACAAAGTCCTCTCCTCCTTTTTTTTTTGGTTGGTCATGGGCTTGAACTCTGGGTCTAGGTGCTGTCTCAGCTCTTCAGCTCAAGGCAGGTGCTCTACCACTTAAGCTACAGCGCCACTTCCTGTTTCCTGGTCAGTAATTGGAGATAAAGAGTCTCAGGGCCTTTCCTGCCAGGGCTGGCTTTTGAACGGCAATCCTCAGATCTCAGTCTCCTGAGTAGGTAGGATTATAGGTGTGAGCTATCGGCACCTGGCTTTTTTTTTTTTCTTTTTTTCCTTTTTAATGCTAGGAACTTAGGGCATTGGACTTGCTAGGCAAGCACTTTGCCACTGAGCTGCATCCCAGCCCTTGAACAAGTTTCTGTTTTTCATAATGGCATTGACTTAGCAGACTAGTGACTTTTTTACAGTCACTATGTGTCGGTGTACTCATGGAATGAAAAGAACCCAAGGATCACTGGCTTCCAGTCAACAATAGGCTGTAGGGATCGTAAGGTATGACAGGACTGAGAGTTGTTATATACTCCATCTGCAAAATGGTACCCTTGAGACGTTCTCAAGTGGGGTGTCTTCATCCCACTGCTTTGCCTGTGCTTCAGAAAAGCATGGGATTGCCTTTTTTTTTTTTTTTATGCCAATAGTGGGCCTTGAACTCAGGGCCTGAGTGCTGTCCCTGAGCTGCTTTTGCTCAAGTCTAGCACTCCATCATTTGAGCCACAGCTCCTCTTCTGGCTTTTTGGGGTGGTTCATTTGGAAATAGGAATCTCATGGCCTTTTCTGTCCCAGCTGGCTTCAAACGTCAATTCTCAGATCTCAGCCTCCCGAGTAGCTAGGATTACAGGTGTAAGTCACCAGCACCAGGCTGGGATTGTCTTGGGAGGGTAAATGACTCATCCTCTGTTCTCTGCAGACTTCTGCTGGATGTGTCTAGGGGACTGGAAGACGCATGGCAGCGAGTACTATGAGTGCAGTCGGTACAAAGAGAATCCTGACATTGTCAACCAGAGCCAGCAAGCCCAGGCCAGGGAAGCCCTCAAGAAGTACTTGTTCTATTTTGAGAGGGTAGGTGTGCCCTCTTCTATGCCTGCCCCTCCAATATAGTCTTCCTGTTTGGCCAGCTGAGATAGGATGACCAGTGTTAACTGGTAGCCAAAGCTAACCCATACACATGATTGTCAATGAGTAGAGCTCCCACAATGCCCCTGGGTGCTTCCAGTATGCATGAGACTTTCAGGCTGTTTAGGGCAACCACAGCAGATGGGGAAGAACCTGGTATTTGAATGATGAATTGAAGGACAATGAAGGACCACTAGACTTTCCCATCATTAGGGCAGTCTCTGGTCACGCCCTGCCAACCAAGATGTCTGTCTTGAACTCCAGTGTAGATCTCTGTATGTTTCCTTCCTTCATTGCCTTGTAGTGGGAAAACCATAATAAAAGCTTGCAACTAGAGGCACAGACATACCAGCGGATTCATGAGAAGATTCAGGAAAGGGTCATGAACAATCTGGGAACTTGGATCGACTGGCAGTACCTACAGAATGCTGCCAAGCTCTTGGCCAAGGTATCATCTACCCTGCTGACCTCTAGGGTGAGAGACCCCATCTCTGATAGGTGGGGGAATTTGGCATTCTACATAGCCCTGCATGCTTCTGTTCATGGATCCACATTTCCCTGTGTGGGTTTACTAGAGGACCCAGCCCAGGGATATTTCTTTCTATTTTTGTATTATTGGTCAGTCATGGGGCTTGAACTCAGAACCTGGTCCCTGTCCCTGAGCGCTTTTGCCTCAAGGTTAGCATTCTACCACTTTGACCCACAGCTTCACTTCTGGTTTTGTAGTGGTTAATTGGCGATCGGAAGCTCACAGACCTTTCCTGCCTTGGCTGGCATTGAACCACGATTGTTAGATCTCAGCCTCCTGAGCAGGATTACACGTGTAAGCCACCAGCACCCAGCTCCCAGTGGGATTTCTTTTTCTTTTTTCTTTTTTTGGGTCCGGTTGTGGGGCCTGAACTCTGGGCCCGGGCGCTGTCCCTCAGCTCTTCGGCTCAAGGCTACTCCTCTACCACTTGAGCCACAGCGCCACTTCTGGCTTTTTTCTTTTTGCTTATGTGGTGCTGAGGAATCGAACCCAGGGCCTCAGGCATGCAAGGCAAGCGCTCTACCACTGAGCCACCTTCCCAGCCCCTTTCTTTCTTTTTTTTGTCGGTCGTGGGGCTTGAACTCTGGGCCTGGATGCTGTCCTTCAGCTCAAGGCGAGCACTCTACCACTTGAGCCACAGCGCTACTTCCTCCCAGTGGGATTTCTAAGAAGAATGTCCCATTGTCTGACCGTAGGAAAAACTAGAGCGTTTTTCTCTTGTTCCCTTTCTGGATTGCTTGTCTTGGGGCACATGGTGAGATAGATATGTGGACTCCGATGTCCACCTCTAGATGGGAAAATCATGAGGTAGCTGCTGGTAAAAAGTCAGTTTAAAAAAGGAACAAGGAGCCAGGCACCAGTGGCTCATACCTAAAACCCTAGCTACTCAGGAGGCTCAGATCTGAGGATTGCGGTTCGAAGCCAGCCCAGGCAGGAAAGGCCATGAGATTCTTTCCCCTAGAAAACCAGAAGTTGCACAATGGGTCAAAATGGTATATAGCATTAGCCTTGAGTAAAAAGAGCTCAAGGACAGCACCCAGGCCCTTAATTCAAGGCCTCCCTCCCCTCCCCCCCAAAAAAAAAGGAATGGAGGATGTTCTGTGACCATTTTTGTTTTTCCCATATCCTCTTCTAGCTTACCCTTTCTTTAGTTTGCTCTCATTTCTTTCTCTCTTTTTCTTTCTTTTTGTCAGTCGGGGGGGGGGGCTGGAACTCAGGCCTGGGCTCTGTCCCTGAGCCTCTTTTGCTCAAGGCTATCGCTTTACCACTTGAGCCAAGCACCACTTCTGGCTTTTTCTGTTTATGTGGTTCTCAGGAATCAAACCCAGGACTTCCTGCATGCTAGGCAAGAACTCTACCACAAAGCCACCTTCCCAGCCCCGTTGCTCTCATTTCTTTAAGGCCCATATCTAGATCCAGGTCAATTTTGCATGGTGAGGTTAAGAATTCTAAGATCCACCTGAAATGCAGGTCAGTTAGAATCACAGTCGCAAGTTCCTTTTCTTCTCTCCTATTTGCAGTGCCGATACACCCTGCAGTACACCTATCCATATGCATACTACATGGAATCTGGCCCCAGGAAGAAGCTGGTAAGTCAATGCAATCTGTCCATTCTGTCTGATAGCTTCAGAATGCCCTTCCTAGCAGGGGAGAGGGGAAAACAAGACTGCCTAATAGTAAAATTTCATTTCTACTCTGGACATACGCAGTGTCTATCTCAGTGAGCTACGAGTTGGTTTTTTAAAAAGATCTATGACCACAGCCCTGGCTTTGGGGAAATGTTCCACATTTACCTCTTTAAGTTACCTGTTTTAGTGGTGGTGGTGGTGGTGGCAGCAGCGCTGGTGGCTCACGTCTGTAATCCTAGCTACTGAGGAGGCTGAGATCTGAGGATCGAGGTTCAAAGCCACCCTGGGCAGGAAAGTCTCTGTGAGACTTATCTCCAGTAAACCACCAGAAAACTGGAAGTGGCACTGTGGCTCAAGTGGTAAAGCGCTAGCTTTGAGCTGAAGAGCTGAGGGATAGCTCCCAGGCCCAGAGTTCAAGCCCCATGACCAACAAGAAAAAAACAAATATAAACTAAAAGCAAAACCAACTGGTTTATATGTGTGTGTTTGTGTACACATGTAATGAAAGATATATGCACGTTCAGTATTTTATTGTTGGAACAGGATTTTTTTGTTTTGTTTTTTGTGATTATTTCATCATTTACTATTTACCTGGCTGGTAAATGGTCGTTTTTGTTTTTTTTTAATGGTTGCATAAATGATCCATTATAATTTGTTATAGTATCATTCATTTGTTGTTTCTGGTATTCACGGTTGTAAGAAACCTTGAGGAAAACCTTTGTGCATAAAAGCTTTTCTCCTTTAGCTGCATAATTACTGTCAAATGGTTTGATTTCAAAGGCTCTTGATTTGTAGAAGGGTTTTAAAAACAAAGAAAAATGATTCAGGCGCTGGTGGCTCACACCTATAATCCTAGCTACTCTGGAGGCTGAGATCTGAGGATCACAGTTCAAAGCTGGCAAGGGCAGGAAAGTCTCTTTGAGACTCAGTCATGGGAACTCTGGGCCTGGGTGCTGTCCCTCAACTCTTCACCTCAAGGCAAGCGCTCTACCACTTGAGTTTTCTGGTGTTTAATCGGAGATAAGAGTCTCATGGACTTTCTTGCCCAGCCTGGCTTTGAACCACAATCCTCAGATCTCAGCTTCCTAAGTAGCTAGGATCACAGGCATGAGCCACTGGTGCCTGGCTAGGTGGAGCATTTCTTTCCCTTGGCTGTTAAGTTCTTTTACCTTTGGGGGTAGAGGGCAAACGTGACCTTGCCCCCCCTTGGTAAGACTTTTGTGTGGACTGCATAGCGTGTGCTGAGACAGTGTGAGGACTGTGGCTAGCTCATGCGAGCCTGAGGTGCTGCATGTGCCCCTCCATCTGCAGGCCCTGCCCGGCTACAGCCCCCTCTCCTTTTGACACTCCTGCTCTACCCATACAGTTTGAATACCAGCAGGCTCAGCTGGAAGCTGAGATCGAAAACCTGTCATGGAAAGTGGAGCGTGCAGACAGCTATGACAGAGGGGTAAGTACCTGCTGGCCTCTCGCAGGTAACTGGTGTGGCAGCAGGTGACACAGGGTATTGGCATGTGTACCGGAAGCTAAATGCTCAGGAGGGTGGGAGGAGCTTCAGGTCTGGTGGGTGTGGCTTTACTTCCTTGCTGCTGCTGCTGTGGGTCCTGGGATCATGCAAACCCTCCTGTCGCCTCCTTTCTGCAGGACCTGGAGAACCAGATGCACATAGCAGAGCAGCGGAGGAGAACCCTGCTGAAGGATTTCCATGATACCTAAGCTGGGCATGACCTGCCGGGGTGAGCAAGATGTAGGTGTGAGGTCTCCCGGCCGCCATTACTGCATGCTGCAGGCTCTGCCTTTCACAACCCCAGGAAAGAAGACGGCCAGGGCCCCCACTCCTGAGAGACACTGGCAACCACACCTCCTTTAGTCAATTTTGTTTTCTCATCTTTTTTGCTTTTAGTTCCTACCAGGGTCGAGGTCATGTTGACTTTGCCTCTTTTTTTTTTTTTTTTCCCCCTCAGGACTTTTACATCCTCCTTGGATGATTGATTGTTGGGAGGGAGGGAATGTTTGTTTTCTGAATGGCTACTCATAGTATTAGATCATTACAACTTATGTAATTTTCAAAGGTTATACAATTAATTATACACACACACACACACATACACAAAGGCAAAGCATAGGATAACAGAGCCCTTTTTAAAAATAAATTAAATTGGCATTGGAGTGTTTTACCCTCTAGCTATTTTCCTTAGAATGTTACTACAGGCTGCCCACCCACCATATCTCAGAATGCCTAGCCTGCCAGGGGCATCCCCGGTGGTCTCTGCTTTCCAGCCTTTGGCCCCCAAGTTGGAAGTTCTGTGGGAAAAACCTGGGTGGCCTAGCGAGGAACTGAATTGGCCTGTATAAATAGGCGTGAAGCATGGAGTCACATTGTGCTTCCTGTCTTGGCCTGGGCTGCGAGGAGACAACACAGGAACAGGATTTTCTTCTAATGGGCTCATCTCTACTCTTGGAAAGTAAAGTTTACCTGAGTTTGGCTGAGGCCAGAAGCCATGGAAGAACATAAGTGGGCTCCGTGGCCCTCCCCATGGTAGAGGACACAGGTCTAGCAAGGTGCTTCCTTTGTTCTTGGTTGGCCCAAAGGAAATTGGCTTTACCTTGGGTCCCTCCTTTTGTGCCAGTATTCAAGGGGTGAAACTCTGACCATGGGTCACATAAGGGGTCAGAGTGTGGCATAACCCTCTTAGGGGCCTTGACCTTCCTGGCTCTAGGGCTAGGATTGCCCAGTTTGTTTTCATGCTGCTTGGAGCTAGGGTGGCGGTATGTTCCCCGCCTTACTTGGTTCCAGCTGTCAGAAGACCCAACCTTTAGAGTCTGGAGCCTTTGAAAGATCAGGAGAGTCCTTGTTTTGTGATCCCAGTATCTCCTTACTCAAAGGAACTGGCCTGAGGATAAGGGATGGCTTGTACACAAGTCATGTGCAGAAGAACGAAACAGCTTGCCTGGTGGCCCCGTCCTGTCTTGAGCCTGGTCCTCTGGGCCTTGGAAAAGTTAGATCTGTGATCTCTGCGGTTTCCATGGCTTTGTTTCGTGCCTCCCCCTCTGAGACTGGCCGAGCAGTCTATACTTGACAGGGTCTCCTTCCCCTTCAAGGAGAGCCTATAGGGAAATCTGTGAATATTATCGTTGCGATTCTTTGATATTCATAACACTTTTCACCTCCAGTCAACCATTTGCCAGGTACCACGTGAGCTGTACAACAAAGTCATTCTCCAAGGCAGAGGACAGCTGTGGTGGTGTTTATGGCCAGCCGCACATTCCCTTTCTCCTCAGGTTTTGTCTCTTCATGTCATCCCCCAGCAAAGGGAAAGACTGGGGTAGATTGGGAGAACAAGTTAGAAGGGTAGCAAACAAACCCCAAAGTGTGTGTGGAGGGGGGGGAGACTATGGGGGTGTCTCTTGTGAACAAGGAGAGAGTGCCTGCCACAAGGTCCAGAGGGAAATAGTGCTATGTCAACACCTGGACTTTTTGGCCTTGGGCCTCTCCCATGAAGTCCTTTCTGTGGCTCCAGCGTGACCCAGGACCCTAGTTACAGCTCTGCATCGTAAGTCACCTTTGGGCATTTTCTGGACTGCCCAACTGCCATCTTCCGTACTTCCATCAAGCTGTGAAGTTGACTATTGGGAGTTGCGGGAAACTGAGCCCAGAGCTGCAGCCTGTAGCCTGTGGAGATCTGCTTCTGTCGCCCCCCAGTGGCTGTCCTTTGTTAACATCATCAGGAAGATGGGAAGATCAAGCCGAACTACTTTTTTTTTTTTTTTTGCCCTGCTAAGGGTAGAAGAAAAACACAAGTGTTTTATGAATTTATCCAATCTCTTTTGTTTTTCTTCCAAGAAAAGTGAATTGAGGCAATGTCATCTGCTCCAAGTTGAGTGGTTTATTCAAAATAAACTTAAATTTCTGATTATAAAGATGAGTATAGTCTTTCTTCAAATAGTCCCAGGTACCCCTCTCAGCCCCCAAAATGGTCTGGCCAGTGATCCAATGAGAACCCTCTTGTTGTCATCTTTACCTTCTGGGGGGCTGTGAAGGAAGTATCAACTCTTCCTTGGGTGCAGGCTGAATTCTTCACTGCCTTTAGAGTACTTCTGGGTTCTGGGCTAGGAATGTGGCTCCGTGGTAGAGTGCTTACCTAGCATGCATGAAGCCCTGGGTTCAACAATTCCTCAGTACTACCTACACAGAAAAAGCTGGAATTGGCTCTGTGGCTTAAGTGGTAGAGCGTTAACCTTGAGCAAAAGCTCAGGGACAGTTCCCAGGCCTTGAGTTCAAGCCCCAGAGCTGGCAAAGTCAAAAAGGCCTGGCGTCCCTCTACCCAGACATGGAGATAAATGAGAGCCATAACCCTAGGGGGCCTGAGGGTTATAAAGACACAACCTGGGACAGAAGTATAGATGGTCTAAATCTAGGTGGTTAGGTGGTCTAAATATAGATGGTCTATCGATAGTCTAAGCACTTAAAGGGTTTGGGTTCTGATTTGTGTTGTCAGCCATGTCAGCAACTTCAGTGGTAAGAAGCTAGGGGGTACTGTGAAAACTCCAAAATGGTAGATACTGTACAACTGAAGCTAGCTAGAAATTTCACACACTGCTTAATTCCTCAGGTGTACCATGTCTTGTGCTTATAAGCAAGGACAGGGTCTACCTTTCAGGAGCCTTTAGCCCTTGAGGGATGAGTACAGTTTTTTGTTTGGTCATGGGGCTTGAACTCAGGGCTTGGGCGCTGTGCCTGAACTCCTTTACTCAAGGCTAGCACTCTACCATTTGAGCCACAGCACCACTTCTGGTTTTCTGGTGGTTCACTGGAGAAGAAAGTCTCAGAGTTTTTCTTCTTGTGGTGGCTTGAACCATGATTCTTAGGTCTCAGCCTCTTGAGGAGCTAGGATTATAGGCATGTGCCACCAGCAATAGGCTGCTAATAAATATTTTTACTGGACAGCAAGACCAGCAACAGAACCACCCAGGAATAAAGCCATCTGAACAGATGAGTGGTCAGACAGGTCAGGACATTTGTGCTATACTCTTGAAGATCTTCCAAACGAGGAGACAACATCTAGATTTCCCATGTACATTTGAATGCCATGTTTTATGTCAGGCTGCATTTTGGGCACTGGATATAAAGTCAGTCAGGGCTGAGAATGTGACTTAGTGGTAGAGTGCTTGCCCAGCATGCGTGAAGCCCTGGGTTCTATTCCTCAGTATTACATACACAGAAAAAGCCTGAAGGGGTACTGTGGCTCAAGTGTTAGAGAGCTAACCTTGAGCAAAGGCAGCTCAGGGACAGTGCCCAGGTCCTGAGTTCAAGACCTAGGACTGCAAGCGAAAAAAAAATATCTTGGCATCTGACCACTGCTATGTCCTCATATCCCGTGTGTGTGTGTGTGAATCGGAGTTTAATTTTCCTTGGGGGTGATGGGTGTGTTTCTGAGCTGTAGACAAACCCCTCCTTCTCCTCCTTTTTATTGCAGTCTTGGGACTTGAACTCAGGGCCTGAGCACTGTTGGTGAGCTTTTTCTGCTTAAAGCTAGCACTCTACCACTTGAGTCACAGCACCACTTCTGGCTTTTTCTGTTCATGTGGTACTAAGGAATCAAACCCAGTGCTTCATGCATGCTAGGCAAGCACTCTACCACTAAGCCACATTCCCAGCCCTCTTGTTCTTTGTTTTTATGTTTTGTTCTGTCAGTCATGGGGTTGAATTTTTGGCCTGGACACTGTCCCTTCACCTCAATGCTAGCACTCTACCACTTGAGCCACAGCGCCACTTCCAACTTTCTGGTAATTGATTGGAGATGAGTCTCACAGATGTTCCTGCTCAGGCTGGCTTTGAACCATGATCCTCAGATCTCAGCCTCCTGAGTAGTTAGGATTACAGGCGTGAGCCACCAGAGTCTGACTTCTTCTTCTGCCTTCTCTCTTCTTCCGCTACCACCTCCTTCCCCCCCCCCCTCCTCTTCTTCCTCTTCCTTCTTCTTTGCAAGTCCAAGACCTGGGCACTGTCCCTGAGCTTCTTGAGCTTCTTTGGCTCAAGGCTAGCACTCTACCACTTGAGCCACAGCACCACTTCCGGCTTTTTTTGCTTATGTGGTGCTGAGGAATCGAACCCAGGGCCTCATGCATGCGAGGCAAGCACTCTACCACTGAGCCACCTTCCCAGCCCACCCCTTCTCTTCTTTGCATGTGCCAGTTTTGAGTCATAATTCGTTTGCACTCAGCACCTGCTAACGCCCGGAATGATTTCCTGCAGCATTCCTCTCTACCTCAGGCTCCAAACCCACCGTCCTGTGCGACGCGTGCACACCAGGATTCCTCTCTGCCCACGACTGGAGGGGGTCGGTCTGATGACAGAGGTGGAACCCCCCAAGATCAGGGCATGGATCTGCTTCCTCCTCGCGTGCTCTCAGCTTTTGGACCCCCCTCTCGCAGTACTGAGTCACCTGCCTCCTCCTCCTCCTCCTCCTTCTTCCCTTCCTCCCTGAGACACTCCCCGGGAGTCCAGAGAACCCGCAGATCTCCACCCGGGAGGCTCAGCATCGATTCCGCGCTCTTCCCCGCCCCTCCCTCCAGGTCTCCCAGCAACCGTCGCCTAGCAACGGCGCTGCTTGCGCGCGGGC